CTTCCCCTCTGTAAGCAGTCTTTCCTCTTGTACGTGGATCATGCAGCCTGGGATTCTCGACCTGCTGAAACCAGTACATACACATCAGATTGGCTGCTCTTAGAAGACAGGGCAAGCTACATCTGTTAGCCTGTTCCTCTAACGATGGCAGCTACGGAGTAGTACTAACGCTACACAAACAGCCCAGAGCCAGCTGCGTGGCTTGCTTATGTACAGGGAGAGGCTTAAACAGCAAAACCAAGATGGTTTTAGCAGCATGTAGCAGTTATTTGGAAACAACCTATGCAAACTGCACACGGTGGAAGGCCTGTTGAAAGCACCAGGTTAGAAGCCACCTCACCACCAAAGACTTCGAGACGGACTGAGAAAGACAGAGCTCTCTCCTTTGCTGAGAGTCTAGGAACTGCAGCTGAACAACACCTCCACACTTGAACTGTCAGTCCTTTGGGCCACATGACATGCTGACAAGCGCTGCAAGTCTCTTTCATTTCAAGAACATACATAATTTTACCCCAATTCTTTACCTTGGAGTCACACAGATAGCATATTTGACTTTTTACATGGTGCAAGCCCTAAAATGCATAAGAGAAAGGTTACAATGCTGTACAGACTGAAAAGAGTTTAATTAATACCAAAGCGTTCACTTCTTTGGGAAAATGAGGCGCACGACGGCCTCGTGCTTACTGAACTAGACTCTTAGAGCCACTGTACCTCAATCAATGACAGTTTTTCTCCCTGAGGGATTTTCGTTCACAGTGGCCAGGTAGGTACTACCAATAAAAATAAGTTTTCTACAGGCAACAATGATTAAGAAATGCTCAAAATACTGTTCATCCTTCACCAGGAGTAACTGGTGTAATGGCATTCAAAGAAAAATATCCCAGATCACGATGGCGACTTCTCAGCGTTTTCCTCCTTGTGCACTGACTCTACAAAAGCCCTTATTTACTAAACTATTACAAACAACTCATTAGCCACACTAATCCCATAAAGCAAGCAGTGCATTAGTGGTAGGTATCCACCATCTACTATGAGAGAAGCTACACTGTCTGTCTCTAAAAATACCTTGTTTATTTTATGCCAGTCAGTTGCCAGCTTTTATTCAAAAAGGGCGAATTTTTACTTAAGACGAGTATCATTGGAAGCAGACGAATTATGTGGCAGATATTAATATACTCATCATAACTTCCACAGAATCAAAATTTCAACTTATATTCTCAGTAGCGATACTGAAAGTTTATCTGCACAAAAGGTGCTTGTATGGTTCATAGCAAGTTTGTTAAAAGCAAGCATCTGGATTAAAACACCCAAAGTTACAGTGAAAGGTTGTCCATGGCTCATCTGAGGAACTAACCTGTACTAGTCAAAAATGTCCGCAATTTCTTGGGGGGAAAAAACCCAAAACAAACCCCAAAAAACCCCACAAACAAAACCAGAAAACCTTGAGCCCTACCTTCTAGTAACAACAACTGTAGTAACAGCCTCTGATACGCAATATGGTCTTACTAAAATGCATTGATGAGTCCATGAAATATTCTATGCCAAATCAAATATTTCAAAGATGGAGGAATTCTAACTGCATCTCCTTGAACTGCCTTGCCTCTGACATTGAGGGCTAGATCTTCAACTACAATGACTAAGAAATTTTGTCTGATAAACCACTTCCAGAAAAGGAATAATGCTAAACTTTAAGATCAAAGTATACAAGTGAGTGATTCACCTTCCTTTCTTGTACGCTTGCAAGACATAGGCTAAACACGAACATAACATTAGGTCCTTTGAAAAGTTCCACCTGCGTTTGAGTAAGAGAATTTGCATCAAGTGGTAAGGTGAGGCTACACAACCCTGAACAACTGGATGCCACTCTCTCTCAGATGAGCATCCTCCTTTACTAGCTCGAGAGCTTTGTCTATCAGACCATGTCACCTGAATGACTAACAGTACACTAACTTCCACTGCTGCCATCTCTCACTAACTCCAGCAAGCTAAAGCGTTAGCAGGACAGCAAGCAAAACAGAATACTTATTTCCCAGTGCTCCCCTGCAATTGAAAACCTGAATGCTGACAAGACTGAGGGAGAAAGCCAAAGAAACATAAGCTAGTCTAGTAGGCGACTGTCTAACCTCAGGGTCATATAAAATACCACGTGCTGGAAGAAAGAAGAAACAGTGAGGAGTTGGCAACATCGAAAGCACAACGCCTGCAGAAGTGATTACGCTGATGCCAAATCTGGTCCTATCTGAGCTTTCCAGCCACTGCTGAGTTGACAGCACGTGCTGTGATGCCGAGCTGGCAGAGGCGATGCTGAGGACAGCTAGTGGCCACTAGCCACCTTAAAGCAATAGCACCACGCATCTTCCCTGAGCTAACGTTTAGTGGCATGAATAGTAAAATAACATGTATATAGTGCTCTTTGTCAAAACTGCAGCAAATAGTGAAAAACAACTCCCCGTTCTCTGTTTTGCCCAGCCTGCTGTGATGCCGGACTCACAGAGTGCTGTGGTCCACCACTGAGCCGCACTGGCTGGGCTCCAGGGCCCCGAACAGCAAGCGGGAAGAACAGGGAACAGCTACACGTCCTGGCTCTGGGGAACTGGCACAACCGTAAGGACACAGCTCCTTGCCAACACTGACCATACTCCAATTTTAGCAGACTTAAAGCTTTCCAGATTGATGGTGAAGAATTTCGAAACTCAAAGAGCATAACAGATTTGCATCCGAGTCTATGGAAATAGCTGAATAATACACCAACAGCCTTAACATACACATATGCAGAAAAAGAATGAACAAAACTATCAGATCTTCCAAAATACGGATTGACAACAGCAGAAATTTGCTAATTACTATTTTAAGTATGCCTGAATTCTCAGCTCTGGTGTTATTAAACTAAAAATTATATCATCATATATTTTAACTATGATAGCTTATGCAAGTTATGACCATTTCAAAAAACCAATCTGTATTTCATACAACATTTCAAACATGGTTACATTTCCCAAATGACATAGGACAAATTACTACTTTTTCACCAAAAGAGTTGAATCCTGTGTTGTTCTTCCCCTGTGACATCATGTGGCCTAAACATAACAAGGATTTTAGGACATCCTGTAGCATCCAGAGCAGCTCCTTATCATGGCAACAATGGGAAAGTATTTTACCAAATAGAGGCAAAATTAAACCGCAGTATTGAGCCCAAATAATATTCTCACTGACATAGTAGGAGAAGTCATTGACTCCTCCTCAGAGACCTATTCTACTGGAGGCAAGTTGGAGGCTGATTTTGGAGAGAGAAGAGCTGGTAGGGAATATAGGTTCCCAGCCTCCAGCCACCAACACTGCACGAAATCCAGAGGGCTGTCCATGGAAAATGGTATCTGTAATTCCTATATGTTTCTCATCTTCAAAGTGTAAAAGGTTGGCTTTCTGGCAAGCTCTACGTGTTCTGAAAACAGCTTCTGACAGAGGAAAGCGATGCCCTAATGCAGGCCTGTCCTCATGACAGGCTCTTTATGCACTTGGCTGAAAGGATCCAAAGACACCGAGTGAGCTGGTTTAAGCTATACTACTGCAGGAAACGCACTTTAGTGCGAACCAACGAGGTGCCAAGGTCAACAGAAAGCCAGCGTCTCCCTTCCCAGACACCCGGTGCGCATACGGAATTGCTAGATTTTTCAGAAGATTTCTTAGCAGCATGAAGCCTGAAGAAATAACTTCTGACACTGTCAAAACTGCACTAATGATCTTCAGGAAAGTCTGTGTTGTTAGCACATTCAAAAGCCTTAACCCTGCCCTGCACAATGGTCTGTTTGACAGACCATGTCTTGATCAGAAACAGTTTAAGCACATAAAAATTACAACTGGCACCAATACCTAAACTATAGCAAATTCCTCCCCGATTGTTGTTCTGAAGACGACACTTCCAGCAGAACAGAACTGTTACTTTTATATCTCTCTCTCTCAACCATTCACACCTCATCCTGCTTCTCGTACTGGCAAGATCTCCTGTTTGCCACAGAAAAGCCCTTCTGTCCCATACACTGGCTGCCAGAAAAAGCTGAGAGGCAGGGGGCAACATGCAGATAATTACTACAAACCTGGAACATTTTCAAGGAGAATGTTTGCTTTTGACTTTTGGGGGATTAAAGTCAGTCTTACATAAACAAGCATGAAAATATCCCAAGGAGAGCTACGTTACTAATGAAGATTTTCTTGCTTGTCAGTTGCTTCAGCCACTTCTGCTGCCATTGGAGGAGTGTAACGAAGGCCCTTCTACTGCATGGCTCTCTGCAGGTGTGATTAAATCTGCCTCTTACTTCCCAAAGTCCCCAAGTGGACTATCACGCCTCAGTTACAGAGATAATTTCTCAGAATGAAAGAGCCAATAAGAAGTGATTCCTTTGGGCATTTCAACAGCATTAACACAAAATGCAGTAAAAAGCATCAGAGTGGCAGAAAGCAATTTAGTCCTCGTGGAGACAACCTGTTTGCAACGCATTCCAAACATTTTAACTGTGTGTATCTGCCCGGGTTTAAGTCAGAAAACAGTATAGGCAATGGCTGCACTGAACCGTCACTTCAGGAGAATGGCACTGGCTGCAAATTAACTGGTTGAGTTCATCTCTTATTTCTCTTTTTGTTCTCATCACAAAACATGGCAGCAGACAACCCGGTATGATGGCTAGACTAATTTGGCGGCGTGAGCTGCAGGTCGGGATGAGACAGCTGCTGAACCTTCAAGCGTGTGCATGCAAGGACACATTCAAAAGTACAAGTCTCGCAGGGGTTTTAGGTACAGACAATGCAGCTTTGGGGAAGACCTAAGCATAGAAAGAGTAGGTCAGGAGTGAGGGGCGTCACTGGGACTTCATGCAAAATGGAGGAGGAGGGAATTCAGAAGACTTGGCTATGGTTTGAGGGGGTGTGCCATTTGCCTCATGAGGGAAGGTAACACATGAAGTCCCGCAGGCTCCAAAATGCACTCAATTAGCTGTTCCTTTTACCTTTTTGTTCTACCCAGCATTTCTTCAAGAGCACTGTCATCTCTGGCTTTGGCATCCTACTCATCATCTATGAATTCATGTTGCCGTTTCCTCCCTGAAAGGAAAAAGTCCCATAGTCAGTCATTTACTACACAGAGGAAAGGACAAATTTGACAGAGTATTTTTGAACTTTGACAGAATTCAAAGACCATTGCTCCTTGAGCAGACAGCACTGCAAGTTGTGTTCTCTGCTATGGTGTCGTTCATCTGAAATCAATCAGCCTGTGTTGACTCTAGAAACTTACCCCGAATTTACCTGTAAGCAGCTGAAAAGCTGTCAGTATCTCAGACCTGCCTGGAAAGAAAGAGCAGGGCAACGACTCACCCAGAGTAAAAAAATTCCCAGCAACAACAAGAGAGATTTGTGCCAAGCAAATATCTTTATTTTATTTTAAAACATCCTGAAAGTGTTAATCTATATGAAAAAGAAGCAATACAACACTGACAAAGCACTCTTAACATTAGGGAAGCCTTCATTTCATCTCATGTGAGCCAAATTAAAAATAAAACTGAACGCAAGTGTACAAAGCGGAGACAAAAAAATCAATTTTCTCAAAGAGATAACATGAGGGACTCCCACAGGGGCTGGCAAATTCTGGAAGAGAGAAAGAGATTATATTTTATGGGAAGAGATTCAATAACCATTCTTCTCCCATAAAGCTAGCGATGGAGGATTGTCACTGCTCCATAGACACACTGTGCAGATTTCAGGACAACAGTAACAGAAAATCAATAGCATCTTTTACACGTGAAAAGACATTATCTCTATGGACTCCTAATACTAACAAATGGGACCAAAGACAACCTTTCCTAAAACTTAGTGGTCAGCATTAATCTGGCTGATAAGAGAGGGGCAGTATGCTAGTCTACATCCTTGGAATTTTTTTTTTTTTTTTTTTTTAGAAATAACTCTGCTCAGAGCTTCACCCTCCACTGAAGCCAAAGAGCCCCCAGATGACACTACATTAAAAGTCTAACAATGTTGAACCCTGGCGCTGTCGCTCGAAAGCCCCGTTGGCATACATTTCCTCTCTGGCTGATGGCTGTAATCATTAGGAGGTAGGAGCTTTATCAGGTGGTAATTTGACAGCTTTGACAAGCTCGGCTGAATTTATGTCACTTTCTAGTTTTTCCCTCCATTGAGCTGAGATGGAACTAAAGTTAATATTAGCAAAAACACTTTGTGCGGGGGCAATTTTCCAGCGATGACTACATGATTCCAGTTACTAAGAAAATCTGCTAAACAAGGCCTCCTCACAGTCACTTGCCATTCTCACCAGACTAGGGAAGATGGTTCCCCATCCAGCCCACCAGCTTAGATGAAAGATTCCGTAGGTAGAAGGTATCTCTGGCTCTAAAGCAGCAGAAATGAATCAATTCTGGAAGGCCTCTGCACCTTGTAGAGGAGTCACTAGCATCCCAAAGAAACGCAAGCGCGAATGTTTCCCTTAGCTCAAAAAAATAACTTTTAGCTCCAAACCCAATTTTCATTCAGTTTGCTGCCCCCGTTTTCACCATGTAGCACTGTTCACTGGTGCCTAAGCTCGGAAACGCTGGCACTTCAGACGCACCCTTCCAACATGTCCAGATAGACTGCACAAGTCCTCCTGCAGGACCCTCCTGAAAACCCTTTCAAGCACATTCCGCTACCCACTGCTGACCCAGACAAGCACCTAACCCAAGCTTATGAACTTGACACCTTAAGCTAGGAATGGTGATGTTCAGGATCATCGCGCTCAACTCCCTTTCTAAGTGCGGGCTCAATGTCTTTTAAACAGAGCACATAGTTTCTTTTCTGTCTATAAAAAATCTAGGACATTAAAGCTTAGGAAAAAAAACAAGTAACAATGAGAGTTTCTTATATTTCCATGGATCATATGGTCCACTCTAAGAAGGAACCCAACCAATTACATCTGAGGAGGAGAGGTACCGGTAGATTGTGACCTCTAGAAAACGCCAGAGCTGTATCAGGACACTAGTAAGGCTACTCACAGTTTACAAAAGGAGCACGCTACACACACTGGAGCAGAAGCCGCAGCATCACGTGTCTGACACAGCACACGGGCCGGCTAAACCCAGGATCTGACTCCTGGGGTCTGCTTCTCTCATCACAAAGATCGCGTCCCACACAGCACCACGATGCTTTCTTGTGCGGTGTCAGGAATCTGCGAGTAGCGACGTGGGCAAGAGGAACACTGCACCCTGAACCAAAACTTGGCAAGTCAGTAAAGCACAAACAAGTACTTTTCTTTTTTTCTCTCCCCACCCCTCCCCCCCAATTGCTTTTTGCCATAGATGTTACATTTCCTCTGTTATAATTTAGGGTTTTAAAGAGCTATCTCCACATGCTTAGAAAGCACAGTTCATATTTAGCTCCCTAAAGTCATATTTCTCTCCTCCTATATTTCCCTGCCAAGATGTGACATCTGTGGACTGTTCCCAAAAAATTCCCCTGAATCATCTGTGATGCATGTGAAACAGCGGCCAGAGCTGGCAACGAGCATCTGCTGTGTCTTTTAGGAAAGTGTTAGATCAATCTGGTAAGGTGAAGGAATCCCAGTAACTCTGCCACTAACATCCCCGAGGACCACACAACTCCCAAATCACGTTAGAAAAAGAGCACACTTATGACAGGACCAAAATCCATGGGAAACAGCATTGCCACGGCAACTGACAGCCTCAGAACTAAAGTCTTCTTTGCATTTTTGCACAGACTCAATGACTCCTAAACCACGTGGAAAAAAATTTGTCTAGCAGGTCGGTTCATTCAGGAAAAGCATGCTGCCAGGTGATTCCCTGTAAAACAGACCCATTTCTACATGGTTTCTCAGAAAGCAAGCCTTTGTGGACCTCTTGTTCCAAGCACTGCATCTCACTTACTACGAGCACAGAGGAACTTCTATTACACAATCAATACTTCCTTGTTAACTACCCTTGGATCAAAAAAACTTATTAAATATTAAAACATTCCTGTTTTCAAACAAAAGTTATGTGAAGATAAAATCCAAAACAGATTAGCTGAGCTCTGGAATGGGAAAACACAGTTTCAGCTTCACAATAGACTGTATTGGTGTTAGTGAGCGGTCTTTCAAAAGCTCCTCTTTGAAGACAGCAGTACTCTAAAATCACTCCAGCATCCCCTACACAAACATCAGATCCAGTCACTAGGGAACATCCAACTGTGAGCAGGAAAGGCCTTACTTGTCTTCCTGGCCGCCTTATCACAGCAATAAAGCCAACACACACCTAGTCTGCCCAACAGCGTGCTTTATATCGAGGCACAGGTTAAAGCACAGACCGGGAAGCGCTTCTGCTAAAAACTCTGTCTGCTCCCCACACTTTTGGGGCATTTCCTTCCATTTCCCTACTGGGTAAGACTTGGTGAGTGCCCTATCATGGTTAACCCGCCGTCAAGATTGTCTGCTCTTTGGAGGGCAACACAGCATAAACTCTAGGGCCATAATATTCTCTGCTCTGTGGTAAAAAGCCAAAGCAGCTCTATTGACCCGAAGAAAACCGCTCCAGATTTATATTGGTGACAAATGAGAACAAGGCTTAGCCACTGTTTGCTCCCTGCTAACTCTTCTGTGCCAGCAGGTTTAACATCGCTGAGCTGATCTTTTGCTCGCCTTTGTATTCTGTGCAGGTCAGATCTGCCCTCACAATGTTGCGTTATAACAGGCTGCAGTGTTTCTCAGGTAACCTGTGCAAGTCAACCTTGTAAGAGCCAGGAGTCACTCACAAAATAAAGACGCTTTGGTCACAAAATAGTGTGGAAATGATCCTCTTGTTATGCCAGGCAAGAGGCCTCAGGGCAACATATGCGACTACCGGTCCCATCAATAATACGCTTAAGAGACAGCCCTTTTTGGGAACGTCTCGAGGACACGCTGCAGTCTCGGCGTAACCCCCACCGCCGCTGCCCCGCAGCACAGCGGCACGGAACCGCACAGCGCCGTGCTCCGCTGCGAAAGCGCTCGCCAGAGAGGACAAGCGCTGCCGCGGGAAGCCTTCCAAGGCAGGCGGCACCGCACGTGGCGCCTGCAGCTGCTCTCCCTCCCTCTCTTACCTAGGAACGGAGCGGACAGAGACCCTGACCACCCGTGGCTCCGCCGGCCCGGGCCCGTGCCCCGAGGCGACCGCACGGGCACGGAGCGATCGCG